TTTAATGTTCCAGGTTAATATTTGTATTCTTATAGTATGCATTTAACAGACCCGGAGGGCAAAGGGTAGGAGTGGAATAACTATTGAGTTATTGATTCCAGAGATGCTGAAGGCTAAAGAGCAAAAAAACTGCTCAGCTAGCAGTGGCACAGCACAGCTGTTAAGGATACTACTGATTGCAAAGAACTCTAATGTTTTAAACCAAACAAATTGGATCCATTTGCATAAATGAGGTACTGATTTCCTAAGAGCATGCCTTAAAATTGCTGGCAAAGTGAAAAAGCCCCAATTCCAAATTTAAGAAAAATTTTTAAATATTGCAACATAGATACTCTGGCATTCTTAAAATATAGCAAATTGGGGGCATCAAAACTTAAAGTTATAATTGGAAGATCCTTTTACTCTACTTTATACATTTTTTTCCTATTTCCTGTCAGAAGACTTTTCATTTTTTGTCATTAATTTGAACTCCTAGCTGTCCTACCTATGTGTCTATACTTTCATTCTTTTTTTTCCCTTATAATATCATATCATTCCCTGCTGTTAAAATATGCTAACCTCTTTCACTCTTTTTACCTTGGTTTTTTATTATCACTGTGTGCTTTTAATCTCTTATCTCATAGAGTCTTTCCTTCTGTGTGTGTATGAAAGCTTTTATTCTACTATAACATGAGATTCACTTTCTGCAAACAATTTTAAGCATGATTCTGTACGTTGCAATTCTGTACCTCACTGAAAGACCAGGGAATGATTATAGGATTGAAATTTTCAGTCCCCACCGTTGCTCCAAGCGGTAAGGAGGAAAGACTGAAGATTGAACAGACCACCAACATCAGAGATGGAATCCATTGTGCCTGTGTATTGATGCCCTGATATAAAAAATTTAAATAAAGTTTTAAAGGGTAGAGTTCCATGTTGGTGAATAAATGGAGGCTCTTGGAAGGCTGCACCCTTAGAGAAGGCATGAAAACTCTATGCCCTTTACCACATACCTTGCCCTATGAATCTCTTTCCTCTTGCTCTTTGCTTAATCCTTTATCCTTTGTAATAAACCACTCAGTGGCTGGGCATGGTGGCGCATGCCTATAATCCTACCTACCTGGGAGGTGGAGGCAGGAGAATTGTCAAGTTCAATCAAAAACTTGTCTCAAATTACAAATAAATAAATAGGCTGAGGTTGTAGCTCAGAATTCCCTGGGTCTAATCCTCAGTATAATCAACCCATCAATCAACCAACCAACCACTAAATATAAGTAAAATGTTTCCCATGGGTCTGTTAACTCTCTTTGTAAATTAATTAAACCTTAAGACAGGGTTATCAG